CATACTTTCCTTTGTCAACTCCAAGACCATCTTATCCAATTAAAAAAAATCCCACAGGTCACTACCTGAAATTACATTCAGTTTATATATGTTGGAAGACTGGTCCTTTTAAGGATGTAAAGTTTCCCCATTTATTTACTCTCATCCTATGTTCATGCCCTCAGGGCAGTGGTTCTCAATCTTTCTAATGCCGCCACCCTTTAATACAGTTCCTCATGTTGTGGTGACCCCAAGCGATGGTCTTAGGCTCTACAGCAGCGGCTGTCAATCTGTGGGTCATGACCCACAGGTTGAGAATCACTAGCAGGGTTGCCTAAGACCACCGGAAAACACAGATATTTACATTACGATTCATAACAGTAGCAAAATTACAGTTATGAAGTAGCAACAAAAATAATTTTACAGTTGGGAGGTCACCACAACATGAGGAACTGTATTAAAGAGCCGCGGCATTAGGAAGGTTGAGAACCACTGCCTTGGGGGAAGATATTTTCTCTTTCTTTCAAACTCTATTGACTTTTAAATGATGATGAAATTCCAAACTATTGGAGCTGCAGCCAAGTCACACCTCTTGTGGGCTGTGTTTGGCCTCGAGGCTCCCCCGTGTCCCCTGAGACTCAGGGTGGCCTCCCCCGGAGGTGGAGATGGAACATGGATACGAACCCTGTCTCGGGGCGGGGGGGGGGGGGGGGGGGGGATCTCCAGAGCCAGAGAAGTCGGGACAGGCTGGGCTGAGAGACTCCGGGATGCCGGCTGCTCGGCCCCCTCTGCGCCAGGCAGGGCACCGGCTCAGAGGCACCGTCTTCCTACAGAGGCTCCAGCTGCCTCGTTCCTGACGGGTGCTGTAAAGCAACAATTTTAAATAACCCATATGTCTTTTTGTTTTTAAAAAGCAAATTTAAAACAAATAATAAGAAAACACAGTCAGTTGTCAAGGTATATCTATGGAGGCCTACTAGTGCCAGGAGCTGCTTAAGGGGTCATGGCTGGGTGCACGGACGGGGGGCCCGATTGGTGGTCTCCTGCTCCAGTGGAGAGCATGGGCGAGGAGCCCAGAAACAGAGAAACCAAAGAACATTCCAGTGATGATCCACCAATGAAGTGAACAGGTGTCGGGATAAAGAGGGGCTGGAGGGCCCCTGTATCCAGGCGCCTGGAGAGACCCTCTTGGCTGAGGCGACGTTTTGCTAAGACCCGAATGATGGGAAACTGACAGCCAGGGGATCCCTGTCTCAGTGGCAACTGCGACACCCAGCAATAGCACTGTGACATTTGGGTGTCTATCCTACCAAACCCTACTGTCCACTTACATTTTTACTAGTGGCCTGGTGCATGAAAGTTGTGCATATTAAAAGGGAATTAATTAGAGGAAATATTTTAATACTGCTACTTGCCCTTTCTCTATAATAGAAGCATCAGAGATGAAAGAAAATTAGGAAAATGCATATGAAAATCTTCCTCCTGTCAGTCTGGGACACGACACGAGAACCAGAGTCAAGTTCCTGCCCACTCACATGCGCCTCAAAATCACATGAGACCCAGATCTGGCCAGCCGGCCCCACCACGGTCAAGCCCTGCAAGGTGGGGGGCATGGCCTCAGGTCACCTGGCCCGGCACTGGGGCAGGAGGGTGTGCCCTGAGGTCCCCCGTCTAGCTCTGCCAGGTGGGGAGCACAGCCTGAGGTCCCCCGTCGAGCTCTGCCAGGCAGGGAGCACAGCCTGAGGTTCCCTGTCAAGCCCCACCAGGTGTGTGTCGGGGGTGCAGCCTCAGGTCCCTGCTGATTGCTCCTTACGGCTTGTTACAGGGACTCAGCCTCCACTTGGGTACAGCCGTTGTGTGTTATGGGAGCCCCGATTCTGCTGTGGGTACAGCCATCTTGTTACAGCGTGACAGTCAAACATGTAAATATGTAAATATTGACATGTAAATATGCGTATTCTCTCTTTATTAAATAGGATATTTACATGTTTGCTTATTTAATTTCTATTTCACGTGCTTGCTAAAAAACAAAAGTGGCCCCATAGTGTTTTGTAGCCACCTTCTTTTCCTACTCGAAGCCTCAGTTTCCCCATCTGTAAACTGGAGATGATCCTTGTAGCTGCTCCAGAGGGGAAAGATTATCCCAAGTAGATGGCCTAAGGGACATGATTGATCCCGAGATTAGCCATTATTAGCCTGTCTATCGAATCGCTTTTCAGTGGCAGCCGTGAGAGGCGGTGGTTAGCGTTTCCGTTTTGTGGGGAGACTTTAAGACTGAGAGTGAGCCAGCTCGCAGAGGGCGGCGCGTTCTCGCCCGGTCCCAGGCTCTGCACCGTGAAACCTCAAACACGTCGCACAAGAACTCCTTCCTCCTGGGAGAGGAAGCCGAGGCCGAAACCAGGGGCTTCTCTGGGGTTGTTTGTTTTCCCTCTCTGTGATGTCGTTCGTTTTTGTGAACCTCGCACTTATCTGATGTCACAGGTTTTGGGAAACCAAACCACAGACAAAATACGCTGTGTTATTCTTTGAAGGATTGTGCAGTGAGATAAGGGAGCTTGGTGCTGGCGGACATGGCGTGCGAGGACACAGGGCTTGTTTTTGCAGAGTTAGGGGCGTCAGGATTTGTTCTTGGGTTCAACGTCGACAGCATCCCTGCTGGGAGCTCAGTCACCGGCACCCAGGCCACCCTGCGTGTGCGGGGCCCTCACACCTTCCACAGCGCGGTGCGGAGCGGCAGGCCCGGCACAGGGGAAGTCAGCCCAGCACAGCGCACGCCGCATGTCCTGAGGATGCTGCAGAAACGCTGTGCTGCTGGGCTGCCCGGGAACGGAACGTGCCGGCCCTGCCCATCTTCTGCTAGACTCTGAGGTCACCCCAAAATCCTGTTTGGTTTTCCTGGGGCTTTTTGCGAATGTCACTCGAGCACCTGAGTCCCCTCTCTGACCTAAGTGCCACGAAGCCTCTGAAAGCCCACTTCCTGCTTCTGCCCCGGCCCCATGCAGACTGTTATCCACACGCTGCCAGAGGGATCCTGTAAAAACCTAGGTAATGTGACCTCCCTCCTCTGCCCAAACCCTCCCGTGGCTCCCACTTTCTTCAGGGTCAAAGCCAAGTCCTTACTGTGGCCTATCAGGTCTCTGCCTTCCCAGATCCTTCCCTCTTCCCCTGCACCGGCACCTCCTTCACCTCTCCCACCCAGTGCACTGGCCTCCACCAGGACCCCTCTGCCTCAAGGCCTTTGCACTTGCTGCTCCCTTACGTCCTTTACTGCAATGTCAAAATATCAGAGAAGCCACCCCTGACCCCACAAAAACAGTGTCTCTTTCCCAAAATAACTCTCCCCTACCCTGCTTTATTTTTTTCTCCGTTGCTCTTTGTCACTACCTGACTTGTCCCCAGATACCAGAGGAGCACAAACGTCCTCAGGAACCTAGGTCCAATGACGATAAACAAAAGAATAAAAGGTTTGGGGTATTTTGTAAAGGTTTGGGGTATTTTGTTACACAGCATTATGGCCACCACAGATGACTGATGCATGTAGTGTGAATGGAGATGAGATTACAAGTGAGCTCAGGAGAGAAGAGAATGGAATTTTAAAAAGTACTTGTTAAAAGGGTGTGGCAGACACTGTCGATGGCCCAACCACAGACATTATCAATGTTCTTCCTGGCTGAGATCATCCTCTTTTATTTGAGGGATATCAGTCTATGTGCTGGAAGAAGGGGCCCTCTCCCTTGCCTGAGGACATAAGCCAGGTCTCAGGACAGAAGCCCACACATTGGTGATGGCAGAGTAGAGAAGGAGAAAAGCACATGTCCTTGATAATGTCCTTGAGTCACACTGTATTAACAATCCTTGAATGACTTATGGAAGACACTGCTCGGTGCCTCCTCAATGCCCACTGCCCCTTTTTGCTTGTTTACAGAACCCTGATTTTATTTGGAATGGCAATGGGCCAGCTAAAGGCACTCACTCTCCTAGACTCCCTGACCACTAGGAGTGGCCATGCAATCCGGGTATAATCAATGAAAATTAAACCAAATTTGCTGAGCAGAAATCTCAGGAAAGCTTTTTAATATATATATATATATATATATATATATATATATATATATATATTTGATTTTTTACAGAGAGGAAGGGAGAGGGACAGAGAGCTAGAAACATCGATGAGAGAGAAACATCGACCAACTGCCTTCTGCACACCCCCTACTGAGAATGTGCCTGCAACCAAAGTACATGCCCTTGACTGGAATTGAACCTGGAACCCTTCAGTCTGCAGGCCAACGCTCTATCCACTGAACCCAACTGGATTCAGCAGGAAAGCTTTTTGAAAACAGACAAACATGGTGGGCACACTGCTCACCCCATATCCTTTTTTCCTGCTCATAATGTGGATAGAAACTGGCGGTAGAGTGGCCATCTTGCAACCATAACCAGCCAAGAGGACAAAAGCCACATGTTCTTGATGGCTGAGCAAAAAGTGGGAAGGAACTTGGGCCCCTGGTGGCATCACTGAGTCATCATCCTCTTGGCTCCTGGGCCTGGATTTCTAGTAGTAGGAGACAATGGTCAGGTTTTGTGTTACTTGCAGCTGAATGCATGCCTGACGGACCTGCCACACAGTCTCTGCATTTTGAACATATAAGAAGGATGCATTTCCTTAATGAGGAAGACATTTTGTGTTGGCTTTTCCTGTGAAAAGCAGCCTAATGAATACCTGTGTTTTGTAACGAGTTGACTTCTGATGAACTGAGTTTTTTAGTGAGTTGACTTCTGTTAAACCTGATCTTGGACTTGAGTGAAATGGGGGACAGAGGGTCATTCTTGCTCTTCTTGGAAAATCAGAGGATGAAAGAGAAGCAGTCTGATTTCCTGAGTGTGTTTTTGGCAAGATCAAAAGGACTAAGAACTCAGGTTCTACTTCCACTTTAAATATGTTTGAAGAGTCCTGACTAACCTGTTTGTTTGTTTGTTTGTGTTTGAAGGAGTAGCTCTAAGGTTTAAGGAGGCAAATTTACCACGTAAGGCACTCAGCACAGTCAGGTCTGCCTGAGTCTGGGACCATGTTTTTCCCCCCCTCCTTTCTGGGTCTCTGTCTTCTTATCAGTAGAATGAGATGATTCAAGATCAAAGCTTTTCAAACATTTTGCTTCAAAGTAGGCAAAACTCCTTTTCAGCTGAACCTTTACTTGCTGTCCGGCCTATAAAAAAAGACAAAAGAGAACCTGCCCAGAGTGGAGGTCAGGAGGCCTGCCGTTTCCTCCCCTAGCCCCGTGGCCTGCAGGCAACTCCTTGTAATCCTGGGCTTGAGGGCAGGCTTTTAGGAAACACCAGCTTAGATTATCCCGAGGCTTTTGGAAAGAGCTCTGAAACCAAGAGGGGAGTCTCCGATCTTTCCAACATTATTAAAATGTTTCTCAGAAGACAGAACCAAAACAAAACCAAAACAAAAGCTTTCCAACAGCGCAAAAGAACAAGGACAGGGAATTTACTTCCCTTCCATCTCCCACTTACTATTCCCACCCTTGACCCCACTGCCCACAGCCCCACTGCCACCAGGACCTTGTGTCTCCCCCAGAGATGGTCTGTGTGTCTACCAGCAAATGTGTACACAAACACACACACACACACACACACACACACACACACCCGTGGTATTCCATAATCATTGTTTTGCATCTTGTTTTTCTCCGTTAACATTATATCCTAGAGGTTTTTCCGTGTCCAGTACTCAGAAATCTGCTCACTCGCTTCAGGGACTACATGACACTGGAATACTACGTATTTGTTGAAAAAGGCCCCTATTCTTGGATACTCAAGTTGCTTCCAGTCTTTTGCTAGACAAACCCTGCAGTGAAGGTCCTTATGTATGTATCTTGGTGCACACATGCTCTTTCAGATGGTTGGTTTTTTTCCCCCTACCCCCTACCCCTTCTCTCTCTGCTTTTTGGCCTATTTTATTTATTTTTTTTTGCCTATTTGCATTTTCAAATTTTTATTCCATGAGCATGTCCCACTTGTGTAATAATTAAAAGGATATGTTTACAGGCCCAGGCCTCAAACTTCAGCCAAGTTAGATAAACAGCCCCACGCATAAGCACAATTCAGAAAGAAGAAAAAACACAAAACAAAACAAAAAAAAAACGGCCTCTGTTGCCGAGGCCTGTCTGGCTGGGAGGTTGCATTTCTGCAGAGTCATGTGCCAAGGCCCAGGCCAGCCTGCCGGGACACGTCCTGGAGCGTGGGCTCTGGGTTCCAGTCCAGGCTGAGTGGTAACTTGCCAGATGACTCCAGGTAAGTCACGGAGCCTGGCCGGACTGTCGGGAGAGCGTTTCCTGCGGGCCAGGCTCTGAGCGAGGGATGGCAGGGTGACCGGGGAGGCCGTGCTCGATGAGGGAAATGACTCTGGGTGATGAGGCATTTGCCAGCCTCCTCACATCCATCCAGCCCTGGAGTCAGTCCTGGTTCCTCCCACCTCCCCTGCGAATATCACTTCACCCTCAAGAACCATGGACTCGACCTCCAAAGCACAGCTGACCCTTGCCTGGGCTGATGGGGCTCAGTGGTCCCAGCATCAGCCTGCACACCAGAGGTCTCGGGTTCGATTACTGGTCAAGGGCACATACCTGGGTTGCAGATTTGATCACTGGCCCTGGTTGGGGTGCATTCAAGAGGCAACCAATCAACGTCTCTCTCTGTTTCTTTCTCACTCTCTCTCCCCATCTCTCTCTCGCTCTCTACCCCCTCCTTCTTTCCCTTCCAGTATCTCTAAAAATATCAATGGAAAATATCCTTGGGTGAGGATTAACAAACAAGCAAAACATAGCTGACCTTTGAACAACGCGGGAATTAGGGGTGCCTACCCTCTGGGCAGTAAAAATTATAACTTTTGACTCCTTGCAAATTTAATGACTAAACACCTACTGATAACATAAAGCCGATTAACACACATTTTGTATGTCATGTGTATCATATACTGTATTCTCACAATAAAGTAAGCTAGAGAGAAGAAATGGCATGAAGGAAATCATAAGGAAAGGAAAATACATGGACAGCACTGTACATATTTATTGAAGAAGTCTACACATCAGTGGACCTACTCCACTCAAACCCATGTTCTTCAAGGTTCAGTTGTATCTCCCTGTCTCTCCCCGAGTTCTCACCATGGCCCGGCCTTCAGGGCCCTCTGTGATTTGCACTGGCCACTTCTCCCACATCACCTCCCCTCCCCACTCCTCCTGGCGCTCTCTGCCCCATCGCACCAGGCTCACTCCCAACCTCACGGCCTTTGCACTTGCCCTGCACCTGTACTTGGATTCTTTTCCTTCCCAGCAGGTTCAGAACCAGGTTGAGGCAAGTGAGATGCCTAGGATGAAAACTGTAAGAAGACATGCACTCTCAAGGCTGAAACCAAGACCCCCCCTCTCATTTTGTGCCCGGGTCACTTGCTTGCCTCACCCTTATCCTGCTGTTTCCCAGAATCGGTTCTTATCATTTGGGTCTTGCTTCATCGACCCCCTCCTCAGAGAGACCTCCCTGATCATCTCAGCTCCTGGGGTCTCTGCCACTATATAGCCCAGCACTTCAATTTATTTTCATTATTCTTATTAAAAAGTTATTTGCTTTGTGCCCATCTCTGCTCACTGGGTTATAAGTTCTATGAGAATAGAGACTTTATCTGCCTTGTTCTCAGGTATTTCCCCAGCACCCAGTATAGTGCCCCATTCAGGGGACAGTAAATACCTTGGGATGGATAGGTGGATGGATGGATGGATGGATGGATGGATGGATGGATGGATGAGCTAGTTAGTGGCAAAGCCAGGATTTGAACCCAGGATTGCCCGTATCTGAAGTCAGCCCTCCTATTCCTGACTGAGAATTGAAAGGTTTAGATGCAATCAGGGGAAACCCTTGAGGGGGGCTTGTGTCGCAGCCTGTCCTGATGGAAACCCTGTGTCCCAAGGACAGACTCCTGAGGAAGCTTCTGGGCGGGGGAGGAGCTTGGCCACACCACAGGGCTGCTCTCCGCCTCGGGCCTTCCTGGGCCAGCTGTGCCCGCCCCCCTCATTCTAGTTTTTATTTTTAGCGGCGCGTTTTTGGGCACCGTGGACTCTCCTTAGGAAAAGTCCAACAAGAGGATGAGAGGGCGGTTTTGAAATCTGGTGGGAATGTAGGTCAGGCTGGGCTGCTGGCGGGCGTCCAGACGATAAGGCCTCTGTGGAAGCTTAATAACGTGAGTAGCCGTATCCATGACACAATTCATAACTGAGAGGAAATAGCAATTAAGAGGCTATTGTGCAACGTGGGACAAGCCTCCTTCTCAGCTCATAAAAGCAGGAGGAGGAAGAGGCAACGCTGTCATTCTGGGGCCACCGGAGGCCAGGCAGGCAGCCTGCGAGGATGGGGGACTAAATCTCTCTACGGACGGGGTTTGCACCCATCTTCCTCCCCCGCCCAGGCCTGGGAGGATGTGAAAGGCAGAGACCCTCCACCCCCTCATCAAACACCTACTAAGCACCCAGCTGGGCTCAGGATGCGCTCTGAGCCGCAGAGCTGGCTTTGGCTGCTGCGGGGCGATGTGGTCACAGCTGCACTATTTTGCTGCTGCCTTGTCAGAATGGAAAATCGCTTTGATTGCCGGGTGAATTGTACCACAGACACGCCTGGTCCTCAGCCCACCTCCCCGCCCCCTCCCAGTTACTATGGATGTTCAGTTTCTCCTTTATTCATTCTCTATCATTTGATCTTTCCATCAGCACCCTTTGCTTTATAATCAGTACACACACACACACACACACACACACACACACACACACAGCATGAAATCCACACTGGCACCTTTTCTCTTCCTGAACAAGCTAGGCATGCCCCGGGCCCAAGGCCTTGACAGTTGCTGAGCCCACTGCCCAGAATGCTCTTCCCCTCGATCGCCACAGGGTGCACCCTTCACTCCCGCAGGTCTGCACTCAGCTGTCACCTTCCCAGGGATGTCTTAGCTGACCAACCTTTTAAAAATGGCAAACCCATCTGGGGCTCTCGCCCCAGCTCTCCTGGTCTATTTTTACCTACAGCCCTTACACCAAGTAACCCTCTCCGTCTGCTGCTCACATAGTGTACCGTCTGCCCGGTTCCACCAGCGCGTTAACACCACCAGCAAAGGGGTTTTTGTCCACCTTGTTCTCCACTGCCTCTCCGGTGCCGGGAACATGGCAGGCGCTCAGGGAAAATTGGTGAATGGATGAACGAAGGCATGAATAAATGTTTACTATTACATTACCATCAGCTGATAAAAAGGCTATTTGCTGGACTGGTTTGAGGGCTGCCTCAGAATGCCCACAGGTCAGACCTTCTTAGACGCTGGTGGGATCATTGGAAGTTGGGGTAACAAGAGCCGGTTTATTGGCCCAAGTATTGGCAGCTGGTCCCTGTTCTGATTGGTCAGTGGTCAATCTGAAGAGCATATCTCCTCCTCCCTGGAAGCTCCTGGACACTTCAGATTCTAAATGCAGCCCTAACCGGTTTGGCTCTGTGGATAGAGCGTCAACCTGCAGACTCAAGGGTCCCAGGTTCGATTCTGGCCAGGGGCATGTACCTTGGTTGCGGGCACATCTCCAGTAGGGGTTGTGCAGGAGGCAGCTGATTGATGTTTTTCTCTCATCAATGTTTCCCTCTATCCCCCTCCCTTCCTCTCTCTGTAAAAAAAAATCAGTAAAATTATTATTTTTTTAAATTCTAAATGCACTGACTGAACCCACCAACAAACATTCCCATGCAAGGGAGCAAAGCTGTCTGCAAAAGGGGTTCCTTATGGGACCTTTCACAATAGTGTGCATGCACACACACTCACACACTTGCATGCTCACACATACACTCAGTCAGACCTGACCTCGAGATTCAAGGACACACGCACACACTCACATCCTCATTTTGTCATTTACACGCCCAGACACACACCTGCTCAAACTGGTTTATACACTCAGTAATGACGCTGCCCCCCACCCGGGCACCAGCACACACAGACTCCTACTTACTCACACCCATACACAAACATGTACATGTACACACACTCACTGGCTTTCTTAAAGCCCTACTTTCACTCACTCATCCTTAGGCACGCAGTCCCCTCATGCACCCCAGACACACCTCCTGGGACACATCACCTTCCTGCAGGCCGAGCCCCAGGGAGCCGCCGTCGGCTGTGTTTTGAGGAGTGGGGACAGAATGTTTGCTCCTGACCCCAGTTTACCCTGAATCTTGACTCTGACCTAGGACAGCCTCAAAGCCGCCTGACATGGGCCAACTGGGGAGGGCCTGCTCCGTGAGCAGCGGGTGCATGTTGCTCACATCAGCCCTGAGTGTGCTGCCTCGGGGCACGTCTGCCTGGCTCATCAGTGCCCAGGGCACCCGCCCACTTCCTCCCAATCCGAAGGCAGGCCAGCCCCGATGACATCAGGCGGTCTCTGGGCCTGCCTGGCACCCAGCACAGAGGAAGGAAGCAAGCTGCCTCGGCTGTGTGGCCGACTGAGGAGCCCAGGACTTGCCAGGGGCTCTGTGACCCAGGTCCACTGTGGCTGAGCTGCCTGTCCCCAAACCCACAGGGGCACTGTGTGACATGGACTGGTTTTCATACCCAGAAATGACCATCACAGTGACTCATATTTCCTGAGCACCTACTGTGTGCCAAGCACGGCTCCAGCTCATCATGACTCTTCATTAATCTTCAAACCAACTCTATGGTAACCCTATACATCATCCTAGGTGTACATATAAAGACACATAGAAAGGTTAGGGGACTAGCTCAAAGAACATGATTTGACCCCGGTGATCTGGCTCCAGACCCCTACCCTCAATCACCCCCTCTGCAGCTTGTTGGTTTGTGGCTTGTTTTGGTGAGTCTCTGATAGTTTTGACCTCTGCACCTCTCACCTCTCTGAATCCTGGCAACAATCTCAGGAGCAGGGTGCCAGGTTTAGGCCTGCTTAACAGTGAGGAAATGACCCGTCTGAGACAGACAGCAAGGAAGCGGCAGAGCTGTTTGTCCCCGGGTCCCAGGGCCCTTTCTGCGATGCCTGGTCTTCTCCCTCCCGGGCCAGAGGTGCTGGCAGGACCGGAGACGGGGAAAGAGAGCGGTGGGCCTTTGGTGGCCATAGAGCAGTCAGAAACGTAATCAGACATTTATGTCAACAAAACAACAAACATTTTGCTTCTTAAAACAAGTGGGAAACAGCGAGCATACAAGAGAATACACAGCCTCACAACAAGCTTGCAAAGCAGATGCTGTTGAATTCCATTTCACAGACGAAGAAACCGAGGCCTTCAATACCATCCCGGCGCTCGAAATTTCCAACGCACATCGCCTGCCAGGAGTCTCACCTGAATGCAGGGTTGAATATCCAGCTGTGGCTCGACACGCCAAATGGGCAACTCAGAGTTCCAGGTAAGAAACGGAACTTCTTATCCTCCCTGCCTGCCCCTCCCCTCCGGCAGCTCCATTGTGGAACACACCACCTCTGTTTTCCCAGGGCCGCAGGCCAAAAGCCTTCCCGTCCTCACTGACTCCTCTCTTTCTCACCCGTGGACTGAAGCAGGCATCCGGATCCTATCACTTCACTCCCCCACCCCACCCCCACTCCCATAGCCCCACCCTGGGGTGAGTCACCACATGCTCGCTTGTATTACTGCAGTGTCTTTCAAACCATGTCGCCCATCCTGCCATTTCTCTCTACCCGGAGGAAGCCAGGCCGTGTTTCTCCTCCGCTTCACACCCTCCTGTGGCTCCAGGTTACCCAGAGTAAAAGATAAGGTCCTGGCAGGGGTCCACACGACCAGCGTGGCCGCCCCATCTTCACTCCCTGACCTCCCCCCTCCATCCACTCCGGCATGCTCCCCGATCCTGGAACACACCAGCCACCCGCCAGCCCCAGAGCCTTTGCCTTTGCTGTCCCCTCTGCCTGGAACTTTCTGCCCAGAGATAACAACGGGCTCCTCTCTCTCCAGCTGCAGGTCTTGGCTCAGACAGGAATGCACCCGGAAGCTTCCGTGAGCAGCCTGTTTAAATGAATAAGCCGCCTCATGAGCGCTCTTTGCCCCCCTTCTCTCCATGGCAGCATCACCGCCATGCCCACAGGGCTGGCCTGGTTCTGGGGTGTCCATGGCAGCATCTTCAGCATCTTCATGTCCTGCGCAGAGCGCTTGCTTAATAAATAAATGTTTGTTGAGTACGTGAGTGGGGATCTGCAAGGGGTTAGCTGACTTCCCCAGGCCTCCAGGTTAGGACATGCTGGAGCCAGGATTTGAACCCAGGGATCTGAGTCCCAAAGCTGTGTCCTTAACCTCCCAGGGCCTGGTTCCAGGTCAGCACCCCGGAGATGGTGGCTGTCACTGTCAATGATTTTTAGGGTGACATATCCATATCGCTTCCTCCACCCCTCCCTCCCCCTAATGAAAGGAAAGGTTGGGGAGGGGGACAAAAGGGAGAAGCCAGGCCTGCTGTGGCCTCCAGCCAGTAGGAGGTGATTCATCAACCAGGTGACATTCCATCCCCTTCCCCTGAGGACTTTGGCCTGAGATAAAGGGAAGGCCCTGCTTCTGGGAACAAGAAGACAAACCAGCAGAAAGGTGGCCAGGCCAGTGCCTAGGGGGTTGCATGTTTGGGCTGGAGAGCCACAGGGTCCAGTCATGAAGTGGGCAACCCAGTCTGGGCCTCCAGATTGGCCCCTGAGTTTCCCTGCTGGGGCCAGAGGCACATCCTGAGTCCTATTATCAGGCGAATGGAACAGCGAGCCCCTCCATCTTCCCTTCATGGTTTTACGTGGGTCAGGAGAACGTGTGCCCATCTGCAAACACTTCTGGAAAAGGAACCTCAAGGGGCCATGCCCTCTGACCAGATGAGCTATGTTTGATTTCTATTTTAATTTTTAGAAATTCCAACTACACAAATAATACTTGAATACAGTTCTGTTGCAGAAGGCTCAAGCAACACACTGCCTACTGCATCTCTGTGGTTGCGTTTGGCTGCAAGTAACAAGTAACTGATTTGGTTGGCTTTGCCAGCTAGAGGCTCCATTTTTCTTATAATGAAAAAAGTCCAGCTTCCTGGTCCCCCACTTTGATGTGTGATGTTCAAACTCAGGCTACAGAGGGCCTCACTGCCTGGCACTGTATACTCAGCCCAGACAGGAGGGCAGGGAACAGGCTAGCCATGTATCTCATGACCCTTTTAGATCAAGGACATGTGGCTTAGGAGAAACGAAGATGGTGGCATAGGTAAACACCTGAACTTCTGCCTCGCACAGCCACTTTAAAACTACAATTAAAAGACAAAATGGACATCATCCAGAACCACAGGAAGGCTGGCTAAGTGGAAATTCTACAACTAGAAGGGAAGAGTAAAGCACACTGAGACTCAGAGAAGCTGCATAAGTAAAGTGTATAGGTATGGAGGCGCGCACATGGAGAGGGCTGACAACTGAGTACGCGGCTGTCTTTTTCAATCAGCAGGGAGACACAAGCTCCCTACTGCTCTGAACTCCAGTTCTGGGTGAGACTCTGAACTGTCTGGCAGTGGGCGGAACTCGAGGGTGGCTTTCTCTCAGAGGTGCTTGCAGTGATTACCAAGGGACACTGAGACCTAGAGGCCTCTTAGGGCAGGGCTGACGGGAAGCCATTGCTGTTTGCTCCATCCTGAGACTCCGCCCCATACAAGCTGTGTGCAGAGGCTTTTGCATATGAGTGACCTGGTCCTTTGAAATCTAAACTTACCTAACAGACTGCAGCTGAGTAGAGAAGAAGGCCCAAGGACCCACAGCAGCTTGCATTGCTTCACAGCTGGGCCTCATCTGGGAACTCCAAAACCCAAACAAAGAAGAGTAATCTGCAGATCTCTCCATAGCTCCTGCTGGGTGGCCTCAGGCAGAGGCTAAATTAGCACCTCCTTGGAGATCCAAGAGCCAGTGTATCCAGGGGCCAGAGTATGACCATCCAGATTACAACTCCTCAGATCCATAAGGGACACACTCAGGGGGCAGACTCAGTGAGCACTAAAGCCCCACTGAAGCAAGTCTTGCCTCATAAGAATGTCTCCAGCACAGAAATTGTCCCATCATAGACACAGCTGATCCTCACAGCCAATTGGCCTGGAGGTCAGTTCCTCCCAGTGATACCAATAACAATCAAGGCTTAACTACAACAAGACTGTGCACACAGCCCACCAAGGGGTGCACCAAGAGTGTCCACCTCAGGTAACTGGGGAGGCTGAACCACCAGGTCCTATAGGACACCTAGCACACAAAACCACTTTATCAACTCTGGGAAGCAGCCAAAATGTGGAGACAAAGAAACAGGTTACAAATAGAGGAAATGGAAAGCAAACTACTGAATATAGAGTTCAAAACCATGGTTTTAAGGTTTTTCAAGAATTTTTTAGAAAAGGCCGATAAATTTAGTGAGACCCTCAAGGATATGAAAAAGGACCAACTAGAAATTAAGCATACACTTTCTGAAATAAAAAATAATATTCAGAGATGCAACAGCAGACTAGAGGATCATAAGAATAAAGTAAAAAATTTGAAATACAAAAAAGCAAAAAACACCCAACTGGAAAAGCAAAAAGCAAAAAGAATCCAAAAATATGAAGATAGTGTAAGGAGCCTCTGGGACAACTTCAAGCTACCAACATCTGAATTATGGGGGTGCCAGAAAAAGAGAAAGAGCCAGATAATGAAAACCTATTTGAAGAAATAATGACAGAAAACTCCCCCCACTTAGTGAAAGAAATAGATTTACAAGTCCAAAAAACACAGAGAATCCCAAACAAAAGGAATTCAAAGAGGACCATGCCAAGACACATCATAATTAAAATGCCAAGAGCAAAAGACAAAGAGAGAATGTTAAAAGCAGCAAGAGAAAAACAGTTAGTTACCTACAAGGGAGCATCCATATGATTGTCAGCTGATTTCTCAACAGAAACTATGCAGGCCAGATGGGAGTGGCAAGAAATATTCAAAGTGATGAATAGCAGGTACCTACAACCAAGATTACTATACCCAGCAAAGCTATCGTTCAGAATTGAAAGTCAGAAAAAGAACTGCACAGATAAAAAAAAGCTAAAGTAGTTCATCAACACCAAACCAGTATTATATGAAATACTGAAATGTATTCTTTAAGAAGAGGAGGAAGAAGAAAAAGGTAAAGATAAAAATTATGAACAACAAATACATATCTATCAACAAGTGAATCTAAAAATCAAGTCAATAAAAAATCCGATGAATAGAATAATCTGGTGGATATAATAGAATCAGGAGCATAGAAAGGGAGTAAACTGACAGTCCTTGAGGGGAAAAGGGTGTGATGGGTGCAGGAAGAAACTGGACAAAAATCATATACCTATGGATGAAGACAATGGGAATCAGTTGGAGGGGAGCTATGGGGGGGGGGGGGGAAGAGGAGCAACTGTAATAGTCTAATAATAAAGATTTAATAATAATAATAAAAGGACATGTAGTTTTCCCAGAGCTCCACATGTATCTTTCTATTTAGATCTTATTGGCCAGAATCAGGTCACATGGCCACCCCTGTGTATCTATGTGTCTGGGCGTGGGGCTGGGGAGGCAACTATTTTATTTGGGCCCATTGGCACCCCATTCAAAATCAGAGTCCTGTTAGTGAGACAAAAAGGTAATGGGTGATGGGCAGACACTGAGAGCTCCGCCTCAGATTTGTTTTTTGTTACCTGCATGGTGTTGGCCCTGCTTTTGTTACTCACCTGATGATGTGCATTTAGAGATTCTCCTCGGCATTCTGACCTGCTGCATGGTATTCCATGGGATGGCTGTACCACAGTTTACTCACCTAATCCCCTGCTCGTGGACATTTAGCTTCAACCCAACAACACCTCAGGGAACGGCGACAGAACTGGAACTGCGGGTCCACGCGCATGTCTGTTTGAATTGTTGGCAAGCGTTCCCAAATCAACACGAGGGCTTGGCCAGTTTACACTTCCTCCCACTGTGTATGGGAGGGCCTGCTCCCTCCACACTCCTGGGCCAGGGCATTGGTGCCACTTCAATGTTGATGGGGGGGTGGGAGGGTGGAATTGTGGTGGGAGGAAAAAAATCATTATTTTTGTTATAGTTTGCATTTCCCTGATTAGGATGGGAGAGAAGCTCTTTATCATTTATGTATTGGCTATGGGTATTTTCTGATGTCCATTTACCTTTTTAAAAATTTATTTTTTAAATATATTTTTATTGATTTCTGAGAGGAAGTGAAAGATAGAAACATCAATGATAAAGAGAATCATTGATTGGCTGCCTCCTGCATGTCCCCCACTGGGGATCGAGCCCCCAATCCAGGCACATGCCCTTGACCAGAATCGAACCTGGGACCCTTTAGTCTGCAGGCTGATGCTCTATCCACTGAGCCAAACCAGCGAGGGCTAATTTACCTTTTTAAATGATAGGGCCATTATTTTCTTTCTTTCTTTTTTAATATATATTTTATTGATTTTTTACAGAGAGGAAGGGAGAGAGATAGAGCTAGAAACGTCGATGAGAGAGAAACATCGACCAGCTGCCTGTTGCACACCCCTACCCAGGATGTGCCCACAACCAATGTACATGCCCCTGACCAGAATCGAACCTGGGACCTTCCAGTCTGCAGACCGATGCTCTACCACTGAGCCAAACCGGTTTCGGCCCGGCCATTATTTTCTATTGAATTGCTTTATCCTTTTTGATTGGCATGAGTCTTTTTCTATTCAGGGTATAAATCCTTTACAAAAATCAATTTTATTGAGGTCTAATTTATGCACAATAAACCGCATGTACCTACAGCAAGGTACCTCGGTCTTGGTATCATTGGCATTTGGGGTGGGTAATTTTCATCTGGGGGCTGTCCTGTGCATCACAGGGTGTTTATCAGCATCCATCCCCCCACCCCAGTGCTGCAGTACCTCCCCTCCCAGTCACAGCCACCACAAGCGACTCAGGGCTTTGGTGAATGTGTCCCGGGGGGAAATTATCCCCAGCTCTGAGCCTCTAATTTAAAATATACAGCTGTTGTACTTTGAGAGAAGTGTGCACCCCAAACCTACCACTACCTTCAAGATCTTTGTATTTAGGTTGCAAATGCTTCCCCAGTCTGTAGGCTTGGCTTCAAATCCAAGACTTGCCCCTTTCTATTGGGGTGACGTTGGTAGAAGCACTTCGTTACTCTGTGACATGGGGATAGTTCTGACCAGGCAGTGAGGTTGTGAGACTGGAAGGGAATCATGAATGTGGCTGTCATGTCGTAGGTGTTCAGTAATTCTAGCTCCCCATCCTTCTGTATATGCACACATTCACTTAGTCAATAAATACTTACTGAGCACCTACCATGTGCCAGGCCCTGTGCTCGGCTCTGGATACCATGAAGAACTAGACAGACAGGGCCCAGTGTTCAGTTGGAGGGCACGGAGAGTAAATGAGTAAACAAGTGAGTGAACAAAAACAACATTCTTGTAATGATGCTGATCAGTGCCGAGAAGTCAGTCAGAGGGTGCAGTGTGATAGCCACCTGGGGTGGCTCTTTGGGGAGAATAAGGGGTGACATCTAGGTGAAGCAGTAGGGAAGGGAGATCCAGGCAGAGGGAACAGAAAGCACAAAGGCAGCAAACACCTTTGCAGAACAGCAGAAAGTGCGGTTGGCTGGGACAGAGCAATGGGGGCAGAGGCGAGACTCAAGGTCAGGAGGAATAAAGAGGTAGAGCAGATCATGCAAGGCCTTGGCCACCAGGATAGTTCCATTCTGACATGCAAGGAGAACCCATTGGACAGGTATGTATTTTTTAAAATATGTTTTAATTGATTTCAGAGAGAGGAAGAGAGGGGGAGAGATAGAAACATCAATGATGGAAGAGAATCATTGGTTGGCTGCCTTCTGCATGCCCCCTACTGGGGATCAAGCCCACAACTCAAACATGTGCCCTGACCCAGAATCAAGCCATGACCTTCTGGTAATTGGGTCAGTGTCTAGCCAGGGAATTGGACTGTTCTTAGCTGGAAAGAGACAGCCCTTCATTCACCAAGCTCTGAGGCCTAACTTCCCACCTAACCCTAGAGAAGACACATTGGACTGTGGTCCACCCAGCTCTCCTGGCCTCTGCCTGGCAGTCCCCTATCAATGACACTAATAACCAACCATTCTCTATAGGACCCAAGGCCTCAAAGCCTCTTCACATTCATTTTCCTATGTGAGTCTCATACCAACCCTGAGAAGCCAACTTGGGCTGCGGGCACCCATTTCACAGACAGGGAAGCTGAGGTGAAGACACAGAGCTGGAAACTGTGAAGCTGGGACTTGAACCCAGGGTTCTTTCAACTAAGCCTGCTTCTCCTGGATCTCAGGTCACAGCCCCCAGGATAGAGAGTGAGAAGAGCATTTTCTCTCCCTGCTTAAGACACCCTTGGATCTGGGACTCAAATCTACAGTGCTCTTATCAGGCCTTCCCACAGCAGCTCCTGGCCCATAGGGAGACCAGCCTCATCCTACCTGCCTTGGGAGTGTAGTTAAGGGTCCAGGAGGCCTAGCTCTGGGCCCAAAGCCAGAAAAAATTGGGGCGGGGCAGGAAGTGCAGTGGGCCCAGAGCCAGGTGGGACCAGGAGGCCAGACCGGCCCCACCAGTGGGCCCTCCGGACTCTGCCCTGCTTCGGAACCAGCCCTGGGACTGCTCAGCTCTCCCACCAGGCAAGATCTTGCAGCCCCACCTCCAGTGTTTCTTGGAATTCTGCTGGGCTGGGCCAGGCCGGCCTTACCACCCCCATCACCTGGACCAGGCTATGAACCCCAGGATTTTATGTGGAATAGGAACTCAGAAAATGTGTGGGAAACAGAACTGGGGCCTGCCTCAGTTTCTCCAGCTTACACTCGCCTCTGCCATTCTCACCATCCATGTGCCAGGCAGGCTGCTAGATGCTGGGGACATGACAGTGACTACCAATCGCTCAGGGGGAGCTCACAGCCTGGCTGGGCTGATGGGTAGGAACCAGATAGCACTGTGCTCAGTGCCAAGGGGGAGTGTGGCAGGGACTACCGGTGTCCACCAGCCTCCACAACCTTTCTCCTCACAATGTGAGAGCGTTGGAGTGTTAGCAGGACACGTTCTGCCCAGCTAGTGATCCATTTCCCAGCTTCCTTTGCAGTTAGGTGTGATCATGTGACTAAGTTCTAGCCAATGAGGTAAGCAGAAATGATATGAATTCATTCTTGCCTTTAAAAAGAATGATCCTTTCTCTCTTCCTGCGGACTGGAAAGGCCATGAGATGGAGGGGCTTGAGTAGCCATTTTGGACTTCACCGGAAGCTGTGAAGTGAGGATGATAGAGCAACTAAATAGAAGGAACTGGGATTTCTAGAATAACCCTGCAGAATGAAACCACCAACCAACCTTGAGCCGACCATGCTGGAAAAAATATTCTGTCCCATTAAACCACGGTGGGCTCTGTTATAGCAGCTCAGATGGTGGCCTGACTTATGTGGAGGAGTAACACATGTTAGCAGAGCCCACAGGTGTTTAACCTGGCCTGGGGGGGGGGGGGGGGAGTGGTAAGCGTGGAGGGCTCCCCAGAGGAGGCAACTTGTACATGGAGGCTTGACCCTGAGAAGGGGAATTTTTCTAGACAGTTTCCAAGCAGAGGCATAACATACTGAGTCACATGGAAATCAAGAGGCAAGTGAGAACATGGGGTTCTGCGGCACCTCAGGAAGCAAAGGATGGCTGCAGTGTAGAGAGTAATGGGGTGCAGGAGAAGACGGGCTGGATGGTGGCAGCACCCGCCTCCGAAGGCCCGGAAAAGCCAGGTCACACCCTCTGGAGTTTGCCCCGAGGGTGAAGGGAGTCCTGGGAGGCTTGAAGCAGGAGGGTAGGGTGCTTAGAGCTGCTTTTCAGAAACACCTTTCTGGCTACAGGATGGAGAATAAAATTTTTTTTTTTTTTTTTTTTTTTTTTTTAATAAAAAGTTGAGGCTCTGCTCTGTGCCAGGCGCTGAGGATTATCAGTGAACAAAACAGACCTAGTTCCTTACCGAGTCTGCAGCCTGATGGGGTGAGGCTTGGTCAAATAACCACACAGATAAATAGAGAGTGCGATAAGGGCGATGCAAGGCTGTGATAAGGGAAGGCATGCGGGCTGTGAGGGGCTGTGAAGTGGGGGTTGGCCTGGGGGAAAGGAGAGAGGCTTCCCTGAGAAAGGGAGGGGGAACAGCAGCGGGAAGAGCTCCAGGCGCAGGGAGCAGCACAGGTGGAGGAGCCCAGGGAGCTTCAGGGAGAACAAGGAGGTTTGGGAGGCAGAGGGTGGCAGACATGGAGAAACACAGGCACAGACGGCGAAGGGAAGCGGGAAACCTTGGGGTCCAGCAGGCTTGAGCAAGGTGGGCAAGGCCAGAGGATGTCAGCTCCCCTGAGCCATCCAAGCAGAGAAGGTGAGCCGGTGGTTTGACGTAGAGGTCCAGTGTGCAGAGGGACCCTCTGGCCAATCATAGTTGTCCTACCATGCATGGGCTCCCAGGCCAGAGCGCGCCAAATCCTGGCCTTTGGGGACCTAATGCCTGCCAGGGACGATGCCTGTGGGAGGCGCACTCACACCTTTGTTACGGGGTCCGGTTTTGTCGGGTGTGCATCTACCCTAAGTGTTCAGAGCAGTGGCCCTTCCCCGCTCTGTCCTCAGGGTGATCTGTATTGCGTCCTAGCCAGTTGTGGTCATTCTATCTCCCTTGCCGGTGCTTAGTTTGGAGTTAGGCATGTGATGTAATTTTGGCCAATGGGAAGTCTTCGAAGGGGCTCCTGGGACAACATCCTTCCTTCTACAGGGAGATACATGGGAGGAGACACCTCTCCTGCCTTTATTTGCCACCTGTGTGTGATGGCTGGAGCTGCACAGCCCCCTGACACCATGGGAATAGGCAGATCCATAAGTTGCCGAGAAAGGCAGAGCAGGAAAACAGAAAGAAGGTGAGTTTTTGTTTACATCTTCATGCCTTCGAATTCAACAGCTGTATTAGATGAGATTATGAATTCCCCTTCCCCCCCCCCCCCTTTTTTTTTTTTTCTATTTTTCTTTTTACTCGTCTGGAGGTGACAGTGAGGGCTGAGTTAGTCATGCTGCAAATTTATCTCCAAAGGTTTGTTTAAAACATCAGAGCTATCTTTCCTCTTGACACAGAGAAAAAAGACAATGAAATGTGCACCGCCTTTTTTTTTTTTGCCACCTTTAGTCAGTGGTTTTATTCCTCGTGGGCACATTCTAAGAAAAGCCTCTACTTGCATTGTCTCGTTTAATGCTCTCACGAACCCTCTGAGGTTGATGTTATTATTATTATTAATTATTATAGCCGCTTTTTGCAAATGAAGAAACAGAGGCTCGGGTCTGGTGAGTGACTTTCCCAAAGTCACAAAGATAGCAAGTTACGGAGCTGGCACTGGAGTCAGGGTTGGTCTGACGGGCGAGTGCATCAGAGCTAAAGCCACGATCTCCTTTTACAAGTCTTCCCCTCAGCACATTTTTAGTAGGAAACCCTGGCCTATTCTTACTTTTCCCTGGAAAAGGGCGATTACGTTTGGTGGGAGATTCAGAGTGGGCTGCGTTTCTTTGCACACAGTTAATGGCTTTGATTATATGTTTCTGGCTTCTTCTTTCTGAGAAAGGCTGCCATTGGTTATACAATATAATCAAATCATTTCTTATGTAAACAGCCGTCTGGCCCGGAATCAGCGGCGGTTCCATCAGCGGGGAGGTGAAAATGAAACTGTGTTCCCAGCCCCGGAAAGCAATCTGCTATTCAGCAGGAAGAGATCAAAGGTTAATGACATGGAGTTGGGCAAAGGCTGCCGCTGAGGCTCTGAGCATTATCAGGAGGCGGGAACAAAGGATGGTTGTTAAATGTAATTCATGAAACTGCTTGCCAGAACATTAGGCACATCCTTCGAAAGCACAAGGGAACTTAAAAAAAGAAAGAAAGAGAAAGTCGAAAAGAAAGGAAAAGTGGCTTCTAACGTCAAGGATGGAACTCTTAGAAAGGGTTAATGCCCTTAATACACAAAGAGTTCTCGCAAAACAATAGGAAAAGGTACACACATTATTATAAATGGGCTATTCGGAAATGAAGAACAAAAAGCAGGCAAACATATGAAGACAAGATCCACCTTGTAAGCATGATTACAAGATCCAGTAATCAAGGAAATGCAAATAAAAGCTACAGTGACTTATCATTTCCCAACTATCAGATTGGCATAGAATGCCAGTGTGTGCATGGCGTTCAATGGGCAGAAATTTTAAAGCAACTCCGAAATTTAACCTTGGGGCATTTCTCCTAAGGATGCAACAGGCCAAGCAGTCTCTATGGACAACCGTGTTCATGGAAGCATCCTATCTAATAAAGAGGAAATATGCTAATTGACCATCACTGTCACAAAGATGGGTGCACCCATAGCTGAAGCCAAGTTCCCATAAGGAGCCTTAACGAGCAATCAGCAATCAGCAGGGACTTAAGGCTACACCCTCCCCTGCCCTGATGGGGCTTGGCAGGGGACCTCAAGGTGCACCCCCTGCCCTGGTCTGGGGTGGGGGGACCTCAGGTTATGCCCCCATCCTGGCACCGGGCCAGGGGACCTGAGACTATGCCCCCTGCCCAGCAGGGCTTGACAAGGGTGGGCCGGGTCTGGATCTAGCCCAATGGGGGGAGGGGTGTGTGGCCAGGTCTGGGTCTCATGCAATATTGAGGTGCATGTGGGTGGGCACATGACTTGACTCTGGGTTCCAGGGTGAGCCCCAGACTCTGACAGGAGGAAGGTTTTCATATACATTTTACTAATTCTCTTTCATCCCTGACACTTCTGTTATAGAGAAAGGGTGAATAGCAACATTAAATTATTTCCTCTAATTAATCCCCTTTTAATGTGCACGAATTTTGTGCACCGGGTCACTAGTTGTTTATAATAGTAAGACACTGGGAGGGGGAAACCCAAAGGCTGAGCTACAGAGGCTTAATGAAGTAAACAATGGCAGGCTTCCATAATAAAATGCTAGATTAAAAACAGATTGTATTAAATAAATATAAAACTTTATCAAGTTGCATCTAGAATACTAATTGAAAATGGCAATATAGAGAGATGTCACGGCACACTGTGGAGAAAAGTATTTTCATGAGTCTGATCCAGTGTGCACATGCAGGTATATGATACCAGAGGATGTGCAGCCCCATGTCAGCAGGGTTTGTTTCTGGGTGGCGGAATTTTCAGTAATTTTTACTTTCCTGTAAGTCAGAGCTCCTCACCCTGGGCCCCGATGACATTGTGTGCCAGATAATTTTCTCTCTCTCCGGGGACTGTCCTAGTCACTGTACAATGGCTAGCAGCGTGCCTGGCCTCTGCCCACCAGATGCCAGCACCATCCCTGCCCCTCTGCGCAGTCATAACAACTCAAGGCCTCTCCAGACTCCGCCTCGTCTCCTGGGGACAAAACCACCCTCCGTGGAGAACCACTGTTTTAGACGTTTCTCTGCATTACTTAAATATTTTAACAACAAGCATGTATTGTTATCATAATCAGAAAAGCAAACACATTAAAAAATATTCAGGAAAGTCATTAGTGGCTTCATGAATTGGCCTCGGGTTCTGAATGGAATTCAACCAGCGAGCAGGAAAATCTGTTCTCGTCTTGCCTTCGACACAAGGTTCTCGTGAAGAATCCCCGCGTCTGGCAGCGTTTTTCCTGGCTTTCTCTTCGCTCAGAGAACAGCTTGTGTTTCCCTCCGGGTTTTAATATAATTAAACTTCCAAAGGGGATAGCTTCGACTCTCCCGCCCCTCTGCCTTCCCTGGGTGACTGCTGGGGACAGTCACCTTTCCCTCAGGCAGCCCTCCTCCGAGGGGAGTGACTGGCTGTCCTCCTGGCCCCAGACCTAAGCCAATTTTATAAATCTCACCCTCCGGCCATGGCTGCTGGCTCAAAGATGGACAGTGCCGTAACCAGTTCGGCCCATTGAATCTTCAGGCGACTCCAAATGTTAGGGCTTTGGAAAAGAGACATTTCAAGTACTCCTCAGAGGGCACTCAGACCTCTACATCTGCACAGAGCGAGGCTGGAATTGCTGTTCCCATTTTAACACCACAAAGAAAGCCAGCCAGAGAGGGAAACCAACTCATAGAATCCCAGCGCTGGGGGAGACACCAGGGAAAAGCTGGCGCCCTGATCGAACCAAGCCTGAAGCTCACATTCTGCTATGTTTTCTGTTTATGGGAGCCAATAAATCTCCTTTGTGGTTCAGCCCATTTGAGCTGAGTTTCTATGACTTGCAGCCCCAAACTAACTGATACAACTCCCTTAGATGACAGAAACCCCTCCCAAATTCCTGCTTTCGTGCCATTTCAGCAAATATGTATTGGGCACTTCTTACTGATCCTGGAGGGGCAAAGATAGCATAATCCCTTCCGGACAAGCATGCAGCCTGGCGGGGAAGAGGGACATGGGAATGGAGAGAGGACAACAAATAGGCAATGGACCTGCTGTGATCACAGGGACACAGAGACACGGTCCAGACATGGGGATAGGAAGAGGAAGTCCTAAGGAGAGTGAGGAGAGGGAGCAGGATGTGTGGACCGATGGGGCAGCCTGGACACCAGGGATCCTTATGGGCTCAGGGAGGGGAACCACCCGAAGAAAGAGTAGAGCTGTTGAGGGAGGGTGGTGCGACCCCAGAGGATGTCAGGGGGCAGTGCATAAAGGGGATCCAGGCAGGGGTTGGGCCCCCAGAGAGCCCCACAGCGTGGAGCATGAACGCTTGCCTCCCCTGTGCCTTGATGCAACCCAGCTGTTAGCAGAGAGGTGGAGGGCTGGGGAGAGAACGCTTGTCAGAGCCCAGCTTTTCCATCCCAAGGACAGAAAGACTAAGGTAGAAGTACAGATGGCACATTGTGACTGATGTTCTTCAGCAACCTTCATTCCACACAGGTACTACTACAGCAGCAGGCGAAGATCAACCTGTGCTCCTGGCCTGGTGGGGGAGATAGACAATCACCTCATGATTCTAAAAACTATAAGCTCTAACCAAGCTTTGGGGTCTTCTGGGAGGTCAGGGAAGGATTTCTAGAGAAGGTAGCACTTGAGCTGCGCGCTGAAAGCTGAGAAGAAGTTCCCTTGGCAAAGGCAGGAAGAACGGGATTTGGGGCAGAGGGGACAGTTTGTGCAAAGGCCCTGGGGCAGGAAGGCATGTGCGAAGATGAAGGACTGATCTGAACAAGGCCTTTGCATTGACGCTATGCTTTTCATGGCTCCTGGAAATAAGCATGCATTCTTACCCTGCTGTCAGGTGTTATTATCACCATTTTGCAGATGTGTAAACTGAGGCACAGAGAAGCAAAGTGACCTGTTCATGCACATACAGCCAGGAAGCAGTAAAATGGGAATGGAAAGCACGTTCTCCATCCTTCCCTGGCATGTTCTCTTGGGAGTCAACCAGCAGCTTCCTGTCTGATGGCATTTTTCTTCGTTCAGAACTCAGTGGTTCTCAAAGTGTGGTCCAAGGCTCCCAGGAGGCCCCCTAGGCCCTTTCAGCTGTGTTCACAAGATAATTTGCCTTTTTTTACTCTTATTCTCACGTGAGTGTAGAATGTGAAAAGTTCATTGACAGGTATTTAGATTCCAAATTGCAATTGAACTTTAAGAAACTCCCACTGGTGAGTTTTGTCTTAGCATTGAAGGTTACCCCCCACCATGGCCTTTGAGAAGCTGAGTTTTCTGCAGACACTTCAACCAAAACAGAATATCACAAGGGACTGAAGGCAGAAGCGGACGTGAGCATCCCCTGAGGAAGTTGCAAAAACATAAAAAACAGCGCCTCTGCCACTTTTCTCACCTCCTTTTCCTGATTTGAAATTTAGCCATTTATTTCAAAAATATGTTCAATCTATTAACATGTACTGAATTTATTCTGATTTCTAAGTTACTAAACTAAATATTTTATAAATTTCTTAGTATTAATTTCTCTTGGGATCGTCAATCATTTTTTTAATAAATATATTTTATTGATTTTTCACAGAGAGGAAGGGAGAGGGATAGAAAGCTAGAAACATCGACGAGAGAGAAACATCGACCAGTCGCCTCCTGCACACCTCCCACTGGGAATGTGCCTGCAAACAATGTACATACCCTTGACCGGAATCGAACCCGGGACCCTTCAGTCCGCAGACCAATGCTCTACCCACTGAGCCAAACCGGTTTCGGCCAGTCATTTTTATTAATGTAAAGGAATCCTGAGACCAAATGTCGGGGAATGCTGTATTAAGTGGTGTTTCCTCCCACTTCTCCCCTGGCCCTCCCCTCTCAGCCATGCCCCTCCCCCATGTAAGGTGGCCTGGGCCAGTCTGTGCCCAGTGCCTCTGGGAAGGGGTGGGACACCAGGCCCAGCAATCCCAGGAGACTTCCTGGCTTTAGATTTTCAAAAGCCAGGCAAGCAGGAAGAATTCCTATTTATGAAACAGCGTCTCACGGAGCAAGGTTCCCCATCCAGAAGCAGAGGCAGGGTTCCGGCGTGAGAGGGACAGGGGTGTCCCCAGGCCTGAGCCCAAAGAGTCTCGAGCTGCAGGAAGGAAAGGCAGTAGCCAGGATCCTGGAAAGGCAGCCTCCAGCCAGCCCCTGGGAGTGGCTGGGCAACAGGCTACAGGAAGGGGACAGCCCTGGCACCATCTGGGCATCACAGGTGGAAACCAGCCTGCCCCAGACCCCGGTCCCCCCTCTCACTCGTGTCCCTGATCCCCTGGCCTCACAAAAACTGGGAACCTGGAGATGCAGGGAAAAGTCCGCGGAGAAACGAGAATCAACCACCAGATGAAGTTTCCACCGGCCTGGCAGAAGGACGGCACGACATGGAAATGAAGTTCAATTTGGGAGGAAAAACAACAACAGAAAACAAAAAACCGCACCGCTCCATGTGCGACCTGGGACTCATACCCACTGCACGCGAG